CCACGCTCTGTCGGTAGAATCCCAAAGCTGGATAAATCAAAGTAGTCGATGGGCAAATGGGCAGTGAAGAACTGCATAGCCGCACTTACCATGTGCAGGAAGTGCCATCTCATCTCCGATACCAACAAAGCAAGAGAGGGTCGAAAAATGCAGGAGGTTGCGTACCCACTTCAGTTGAGACCACTTCCCTACCATTTTTTGTGGAGTAAATATTTCCACAGCTGAGCGGATCCGCAGTAGCCTGAACGATTGCAATCGGCCCAGAAATGTCGAGCGTTTTACTCCACCGGAGAAGCTTGCTTGAGTGACCTAACTGAGACCCAGCATTAGTTCAAAACAATACCACGTATAGTAGCAGTTTTTGTCGATTTTGGTAGGACCATCAACAAAATCGGAAATCTGGCGTTAACATATTGCAGGTCAACCCTGGGCCTCACTTGATAAAAAGCCCATAAGGTTCTAGGGGAGAGCTAAATATTTTCACGCAGCATCCGAATTCCCTCACTTCTTACTGTGATTATTAGTGAAATCAAGGTCTGCCGAGGTCGTCATTACAGTTTTGAGTCACTGGAAGCATGAAGGAAGTTTCGAAATAAATAGATTGGGTAATACTTGTTAACTTGTGCCAAGCGTGAGAATCCATTTCGAGCTATAATTGGTGGAGACCATTTTAAAATCTCGTTAGTTCCCATCGTTGTGCATGATGGAAAGTAACTTATATATAAATTCCTTCACCATCCTCCGTTTAAGAGCTTAAAATATAATATGTTGCTATGTATACCCATAATTGTGGGACACCCCTTATCTCCAAGAGCTAAATCATAGAGCTCTAATAAATTTAAAGGCAAATAGTTTCTTTTCGAAGCGAAGAATTCTGTTTTTCATCTTGGGGATACACGCTTTTTCTTCCAATGCCCCAATTGAATCAAATATTGGATCACTTATTTGCATGCTATGACCTCTCCATTGTGATTAAAAAATTTATTTGCGGAATTATCACTGAGGTGAACTGCAACTGGTGGGCTGGACATGCGCTAAAGTGGGAGGAGTTTGGAGTCGAAAATCACAAGATGGCTGCCTCAACCACTTGGCTCTCAAGTTGAGCAAATTTACAGATTTTAAATGAATTTTACGGTATTTGAATAAAATCAACAAACTATGGTACCTGAATGCCTTCCCTGAACGCGTTACGGAATTTTCAATATTGCTAATATGTTTGCTTTCTCCCTTTTTCTTCACGGAACTGTTGCAGATCTATGTTCGCTCGACGGACAAAAATCGAACCATAATATCGGCTATGTCGAACCTTCTCGGCATGTATAGTCAGAATAACAGCAATGCTATCGCTGATTCGGATTATCCTGCTGTTGATGGATGGCCTACAGGTTTTGTTCCTGTAGCCATTCATACAGTTGACGCCACCACTGACTATGTGAGGTCTAGAATTACTGCGTCAGTCTTGAATATCACTTTCTGAATTTGGCATTTCTAGGTTGGAATTGTAGACGTTGCCTGCGACCGCCAAACCCATTTATGGGAAATGGCCAAAAGCTCTCCTGAACTTCAGGAATTCCAAAACCGGCCAGATGTAAGCTAATCTTGAGATCCATTGTTACTTCCTATGATAGATAAGAGGGCTAGAAGTGGATTTTGAGAATCTCACCACCTTCGCTTACATACATTTTTTAGGTTGTTGATTTGCTGACAAATTTGACCGAATTTTGCGGTGAACCAGTTACTATCGATAATGTGGGAATCATACAGGATGCTTTGTTCATAGAAGTAGGTCCTGTTCCAAGAATATCTTATTTTCCGGCTTAAATTGATAAATAAACTGTATCAAACACTTATTGAGCTAAATTTAGCAATTACATGCAAACAGTACCCTGAGAGAGGTGAACACCTGGTTTAGCGACGAACTCTACGACCAAATTACCGCTGTCAGTAATCAAGTGCACATATATCAAAATGGAATCTTTAGTAAGTTCCATTGGTTGTTAAAAATAATGAAAAAATAAAGCAGTACACAGATCGAATTTGTGAGGTCACATCGGTTCAAAATAAAATTGTGGATGCCGAGTTGACTATAAATGAGAAAAGAAGCAACGAAAACTGTGAAGCCCAGAACGAAAATTCTCGCTGAAAAAGGAATGGGCGGGCCCAGACGAGTTGCATGATGCCGTTATCTTGTTCTACGGCTCAATCAATTCATTGACCGCTATGCAGTAATCCACGTTGAATCCACCTTTTTAATACCCTAGCGCCACCATCGCGCACATTCCAGACGCGACACGGTACACCTGTGTTACCCTTGAGCTACGCTATTCCATCCATTGGATAATTTCTCTGAGTCATCATAAATGCTGTTTCCTTAAGGCAACTTTCCCATTCATGAAGCTAAGCTAAAAAGAGCTAGTTAAAGCTGCTTTTAGATGGAACCCTTGTGATGAATAATCTTGATATCGGAAACGAGATACAGAAAATACGCGGTGGATCGATGATCAACGACATTAACATGCACATGAATATAAAACTACAATGCTTGAATGAATCTGGGTCTGACTGCAAGTGGATCAATGGTTTGAAGTACTATGCCTATTCAGCGGTGAGAACCTTTGGCTCATCGTAGAGAAAAATGAGTTAGCCATGTGGGAAGCCACAACTAATGATCTCACCGAATTGATAACGCAGCAAAATCCTGAAGTTTTTAGCATGACAGCACAATTTATGCCTTCTTTTCCATACTGGGTATAGAGACCAAAGTTATTACGACGCATGGATATCCGGATTACTCAGCGGCGGTATTTATTGAACTATGGAGAAATCGCACTGATGGACAACCTTACTTCAAGGTTAGCGCGAACAAAATGCTATGAGATTTATTCTCATTGCACTTTACTGAATTGTAAGGCGCAAATTATCACAAGGTCACCCTCAATTTTCACACCTAAAAATCCAGGCACATAGTAATTCTACTGCTAAACGTTTCATTTCACTTTTCTATTGATACTTTTGGTCATTTTTCCATAATTGAACTAGCACTTTAAAAAATCGAATAAGTCATTTAATTTGGCAGACGTGAAAAAATCAAAAGTGTATTGCTGAAGTTTTACCAAAACAAAATTGTTTTAGCTCACTTACTACCAAAATGAAAGAAATGCTACATTCTACCCAATCACCGACTTTATTGATCTTTGTGAAGGACAATCTTTCTGTGGTTTGGACAAGTTCCAAGCATTTGCGGACAAAACAAGACCAGACCAACCGATGAGCGTGGTACTACCTACAATTTCTCTTGATATAACCCGGCATCAATAGTAATCAGACTGAATTCAGTGGTGCAACGTTGATCCTCGTCCTACTGGCTCACGATCGGCACGGTCCATATCTTCATCGCGTTCGACAGGGATCCTTTTCCTGATAGGTATTCAAACTCAGACCAGTATTCGAGTACAGAACAGCAATCGAGCTCGGCAGACATAGCGGCTGATATTAAAATACACAGAGAAGTTGATTGGAGGCTCCTCTACATTATCCCAGCGATCACGGTTTTCTCTAATAATATTCCCATCGTTTTTTTGCCATCTTTCAAACTTGATTCGTGCTGCTACTGATATTAAGCCTGAGCTGAAGCTTCTGTTTGTTTGAAACGGTCTAGTCAAAATGCGAGGAATAATTTATTGCAAACAATTTTGGGATTGCGGTGATTGAAAAAAATCACTGCTCATTCGATGCGAAATATATTGGCGTGAGTGTTGAAAACTCAAAAATACGTGGACCTTGACACATACTAGGCTTGGCCTCCGATCAAAAACACCGCTTGCATGTGTCATCGTTCCTATGAGGAGCAAAAACTCGACAGTGGCGCGCTCTATTTTGCAGCAGTGCCTTCCGATCTCGCACCATAACTGCCATACTAGTGAGGTTTTACAAAAATGAGATAATCTTCTCATGTAATCTATGCTTACTAGATGAATGATTCTGATATAATATTATTGTCCAGAAAGTAGTGCGAGTTTTTGACCTCCGTCTCAAGCAACATAGCGTAGCATAAATATTTTTAGCCATTTGAAAAAGAGTTGGAGAAGTGGATCAATATGCGAACTCAGAATATTCAACGAAGTTCAAAATATAAAAAGGGTGGAAGCGCGAGAATTGCCAGAAGCCTTTCCTACCATGTCTCACTTTTCCAATCTTTTGCTGCCCTAGTCTCGTGATGTTTGACAACGTGCAATCTAATGAATGAGAGAAGTCCTGTGAGTGCACTGTGAAACGAAGCTATACAGGCTGATTCTCCCGCTTCTTATGAGGTCTTTGTGCGACATGTGGCTAGGCGTCAATATGGAGAATGAACTTCTCCTTCTCTTGGATAGAGGGGTTGTTTTTTCTGGTGCACCGCGTCGTTGTGATGGACAAACATTGGTGCTGTATTAGGTTCACCTGGCTTTAGAAAACTGTGATGCATGGTGAAAATTTAGTTTGGGAGGGGCACCCTATCCAGTGGAAGTGGAGTAGCGGAAGATACTCGTATCTAATCAAAGTATAGTTGCGGGAAGGCACTCATATCTTATTTATATCCCTCGCTGATTAAGCGGCAAACAACCAGGTCGTCAGACTTGTTACTCTTGTCCTATAACGAAAACGCTGCCACCTTGCGATTCTCCCTTACGATCTCACTTACGATTGCCGTGCAAGCCCTTGGCGAAAGGGTGTTCAGGTATCCGATTTTGTATGAAATCCCAGGTTGGTATTCATATCATATCGTGCACCCAGAGCCTGTTGTTGATAGGCATTATTACTTTGGATGATAACGGGAACATCAGTGTGTCCTCTCCTTGTTGAAATTCTACTCTGGAAAAAGTTCTGGAGGTTCATCGCTGTCTAATGTTGTGAAGATTCTGTTCTGTGAAGTCATGCGGGGCTCATTGATCCAGGTTTCGCACCTTGCCAAGTACCTTCAGGCACTCCGACACTTTCTGTGCGCTCCCTTTAAGTTATGGTGTTGACCTTCGTACACTTATTTGGGAATCTCCTTACGTCGGTTCCTCGTAAGGTCGTCGTCAACAGGAGAATGAGGCCCCTAAACCCTTCAATTCGAATCTCGAACGCCCTTCGTAGAAAACTGCGGAGCCAATGCCGCAGTTTACACTTGTTGGAAATCCTTTGTTCCACGCAACAGTCCAATTCCGAAATGTATGCAAAGCTTCAACTCATACTCATACTCATACTCGCTTTGAAGTATCCGATTCAAACCCTGAAAAATAGCAAGGACCTCGAGTCGTTTCAAAATTCTATAGCAGCATGAAAGAGAGAATGGAAGAGCTTTTCAAGATGTGCCACAAGAGGGCACTTAAGAAAATCCCTTTAAAAATGTCTAATAAAATATGACTTATTGGAACCTGCATCAATTTCTGGACAACCTAATTTAATGTTTTCATCTCTATTACCCAGTGAGCTTTCCTTAGCTCACTCAGGAACACGAAGTATATTTCCGTCTGACTAAAGGCTTGGTATTACTTAAGGTTGGATCGCTTAGGTGTTTACATTAGATATTCCCAATCTATGATATCGGCTTACATTATATTCGAATTTAACCTACTGCTTTCGCAAAAGTTCCTCTCTTATACTACTAATAAAGTCTATTTGTTTTCAGCTCTCATGACGACAATCTTCGCATGGATGAACAGCTGACTTTTCTTTTCGGAGGCTATCTATACGAACTTGTACTATCTGAAGTTATTTATTGTGGCGGGATAAAGCAATTTCCATCCAGTGCGGATGTGTGTAGAATCAAGGGTGACGATGGCTGGGTAGCCGCGCTAATGGACGTGATTTTGCGACGGCTGTCGCTTCTGGTTGGACCCTAACGAAGTGCAGCAACAATATAGCACACCGTTTTTCCTGCACGTTACCGCGAAAATATTACATTTTTCCTAGACAACACTTTTTCGCATTTGATAAACCTTTTTGACTAGAAGTAACTAAAAGATTTGCATAAATGATTACATAAAGGCACGGGTTGAGATCGAATTGTTGTGTTGTTTTGCACAAAAATTAGGCAAGAAGTGCTACGAGTAACGTTAGGAGAGAGAAGAAACAAAAAGTGTCACAGTGAACCGCAATGCTTCTCGCTTGCGAACCTGGCCGTGGTATGACGGGGAAATGCAGCACTCCGCTATACCACGGTCGATTGCAGGGAAAACGCGAGAGCATATCACATGAGAGAGGGCGTAGACGCAACATACTATGTCGCTGTAGCAACATACTATGTCGCTGTAAATAAGGCCGGTGTCAGACTCTGCGAATCTCACCGTTCGAACGAGTGGGAGTCCCGCCACCTTCAAACATACGAGCCGCTGGTAAATCGATCGGTCCGCTGGTGCACAGCTCGATTCGCTGGTGCAACGCTTGCATCCCGCGATTCACTACCTAATCGGTCAGTTCACTACCGAATCGCTGAACTCGCAGATCTGACACCAGCATAAGGTGGAAGAGCCTGGAAGCGGGCAGGGGGGCCCTAGCCCAATTGTCGCTCACTTTTGATTCGAGACATTGTCATGACTCTAGTGCTTAGAGCCACACGCACGCGTACTCGCTCTGAAACAAGCCAACCTTCACATCGTGGAAACTATGTATCGGCTGGTGAACTTCTCCAGGGGAATTGATAAGACT